CAATGGTACTCATCCTCATTGTCACATCTTGTGCAGATTCTGTGTTCCAGTTTTGTTTTTGGTCTAGTATACCTCCCTTTCTCAATCATAAGCTGATGGTCACTAATTCTTAATTTACAAATATATTTTCTATATTTTGAATTATTCACATCCATCAAATATCAAATTTTTCGAGGGGGGTGCTCGGGTAAGCGCCCACCCCTAAAAAATCGTGATTTTCTGAGTTGAGGCCCCTGGGCGCTAACGCGGTCGAGTACGGTATTAGTACATATTAATTACCTAATTTGCATAATTAACAAATTTTCAGCTTTTGATATTTCAAGTAGTAATCATCACATTTCAATGAAATTTGGTACATAGTTACTTAAGGACTGTGCAGACCCCTGATTAGTTTTTGGCTATATATTTGTGCATATTAATTACGTTATTAGCTTAATAATTTAATTTTCAGCTTTTTGCCTGATATCTCAAATACTAATCATCATATTTCAATGAGACTTGCTACATAGATCTTCTAGGACTATGCAGAGACCTGATTAGTTTTAGGGTAAATAATTGTGGATATTAATTACCTGATTTGCATAATTAGTTAATTTTTTTCCATGAATGTTCCACTGATATATAAACACCACAAATTGGATTTTAATGAAACTTTTAAAGAGTACTCATCATCACATTTTAATGAATCTAGAACTATGCAGAGACCCAATTAGTTTTTGGTAAATATTTATGCTTATTAATCACCTAATTAACATAATTAATTAACACTGATATCTCAATTACTGATCATCACATTTGAATAAAATTTGGTACATAAATGCTCTAGGACAATAGATTTGTTTGTTAAAATTTGTTCATATTAATTCTCTAATTAGCATAATAATTCATAATTATTTTGCTCTGTTCTGTTCATATTAGTTACTTGATTTACATAATTAGTTTTCAGCTTTTCTATCAATATCTCAGGTACAAGTAATTTTTAATTAATTTTTAATCTGTCTTCAATACTCTTAGCACACAGGAGTTCTTTCTAAGCTTTCTTTGATTTATAAGTTGATCTTCTTGATTGTTGATTTCTACCAATAGCTTTGATACCTAATATATATGAGTACCTCAGGTCATCAACCTTTGTCAGATTTGTTCATTTTGTGATAATACCTTCAATTCTTTAATTTAAGTCAATATTTCTGTCAATTTTGGTAAAAAATGTTATTATTGAAAACTACTTTGATTGTCCTCTCGGATTTAGTCATTTTCATGATGATGATGTTAGTTCTCTCATATAATTGAATATTTTTTTCATTTTTGGTAAAAAAAAATATTTATTCTGTCTTTTTGAAAACTAGCAGTCCAATAGTTTTTATATTATATTTATTTTATATTTGTCTTAGATGGATCACTATCAGATTGATTTGAATTCTTTCATTATCAGATTAATTTATTTAATATCTAAAATTTACTCAACATCCTTGTTATCTTTAAAATGGCTGGATTGATTTGATATTCCTTTCTCATTATGTATCTGAAAAAGCTCCTGCTTGTTTTTGTGAAACATTTTATTAAAAAACAAATAACACAAGTTTCCTCTATTTTCCTGAGCTTGTCATTTTCAGTAAATCAGCTGACAAGTGAACAAACTTTGTATTGAACACAAACACTCGCACACAATCTTTGTCCCTTATGAATATTTAAATGAGCAACCTTTACACTTTGACCTTTACCCCAACATAATCACAGGCTTAGCACAGTGTTCCGAACTGTGTTGGCAGCTGAGAAACCAAGCAGACAAACGTCAGGTATCCGGTGTAAAGGCAGCATTACAGCATAATATTGGACTTGGAGGTGCAGTGGTTGTCACCGCTTACAAACTAGGTTTCCCAGAGCATCAAAGGTAGGTAAACTGAAACAATTATTTTAAGAGTATGTGCAAGCCATGCTTTAACATGCTCAAGGTTAACTTTGTGTAATGCTGGTAAATTAGGTTAATTTTCCCAATCTGTCTTATCTAATTCTTTTCACGCTATGGTTAATTGCATCCAGCTTGTACATGTATCTAGACATTAATTGAAATAGTGTGTATATTCCTAGTGTATAACATGCTCCTGAATCAGTGCAGACCCACTGTTACTGCTGGTGACCTTTTAGAGCCTTGATTCAGCTGATATATAAACCATATATGCCATTCACATAATTACCTTCCCTAATCACCTGTACATTCATTATTTAAAGTGAATTCAGGTAAGAATATACAATAATTAATTCAGATATTGAAGCTATGTTCATGTATGATTTCACTATTAATGTGTAATTGTGATAATTAATTGTATTTATAAAATGGCTCTAATCAAAAGCTTTCCAGTAGTGGTTCATGTATCACCAACATTGAAGCTTCTTTTCAAAAATATTTTGCATTTTAGGAAAACAAATAGTACTAACACATCACATTTTCCCTGAAATTACGAAACTATAGTGATATTGACCTCTAATCAATAAAACGGCTTTAATTGTATACATTGTCTGAGATACCATTATGTGAGTGCCTTGCTGTAGTGAGGACAAGATTTGAAATAATTGTATACCTTACTACCGGTAGTATAAATATAAATATATGGGTTTTAAAAGTTACAAAACATGGAACTCATTATATAATACATGTAAATATGTTGATTCAGTTTTATGTATTGTACAGTAAATACAATATGTAAAACCTTTATTAACATATTAACGATAACCAAAAAAGAAATGTCACACTATGTATCTTTACAACAAAGAATTCTATTCTATTCTATTCGATTCTATTCTATTCTATTCTATTCTATTCTATTCTATTCTATTCTATTCTATTCTATTCTATTCTATTCTATTCTATTCCATTTCATTACATTCGTGAAGTGAGCTATAATTGTACACGAGTACAAGGTGTGTACGTGTGCAATCTACAGGCCCACTTCACCTGGTCACAATGAGACAATTATTAACAAGTCTATCTACTCCATATATCTAGACAGTAAACTTAGTTTTTCCCTTATCCTGTAATTTGAAATCAGAAAATCTTGGTTAAAATTAGGCCTCATGTTAGATTATTGATTAACGTAAATAGATGAGTTATATATGAAAACAAGATGTTTGCTTCAGATATACTGAGATAAATGTGTGGGGTTTAATAGTCAGTATTCAGATTTGTTGACAAATTGATCACAACTAGTAAACTGCCAGCATTTGGAGACATCTATCTCTCTCCCTTGCTATTTGTGTACATGTGTTTTATATGGCTGTGAATTCTGTCTGGTGTTTGAATTGTTTGCTAGTGATTCAATATCCACCAAACCAAGAAGTAAAAAGATGTACTTTGATATTAAATCATGAATTAGCGCAAGGGTCATGAAAACTTACAAAATTACATTGTAAACGAGAATAACTTGAAATGCAGGGATGGACTTAGAAGATTGAACGATCAAACAAATTTTCAAACAGAATCTGCACAAATCTAGAAAACTGTCTTGTTATTGTTATTGTAATTTAATTTCCCTGTTTGTAAAACATTGTATCAAGGTGTTCGAAAGTGTTGTGGACGTGGTCACATCACGTTTATGTCACATAAAAACACTTTCCTTCATTCATATCAGATGCAGTAGTGATACGAGTATGTGATGAAATAGAAGCATTTTCACAGATTTCAGATATTTGCTCAGTGTTAAACGTCATTGCCATTTCTGGCTGTTATCTCTCATTGGCTTATAACTACAAGCATGGAAATGATGTACAATAACTTGTATATAGGCAGTACAAGAACACATCAACCTCCACTGTCAGTTGATAGGATCATCATAATGCCTTTGAACATACTTTACTGTATTCTTGTAGACAAAAACATTTTGATTTTCTACATTGAGTGTGAATGTCAAAATATAAACACCTTTCATACTATGAGGTTATTACGAGGATACCAAAAAGTATGCACAAAGACAGTGCAGCAGGAGTATTGACTGATGTGCAATGGAGGTTGATGCGACCACGTACTGTCTGAGTGCATACATTTCAGTATCCTCGTAATCTTATTATTATACAGCTTTTCCTACCAATGATACATCATGGGAATGCCGAAATTCAAAAAGTTTAGAATAGATTGAGCGAACTTCCTTGTATGGGGACCGATCAAACTCTGAGGCTGCCATGTTTGTTTTTATTATTAGAGAACGCTTACATGCGTAATCATTTCATATTTGGTATTCGCATTTTCTAGTATGATTGGGTGAAAATACCCAGTTCAATATTACAAGATTACGGCATTAAATTATGTGACTTTACATAGGCTTCTGTTTTCTAATGGCTAGACTAGTCATGTGTATAATATAATATATTATTTGATATTTTTTTCAGTGTACGCCCAGTCATGACAGGAGGTGGAGAATTTAAGTCTGCTCCAATCTTCAAGGAGATTGAGAAACGACTCAGTGATGTAAGTATATAACTTAATGTTTTGAATTTAAAAATTAATTTAACTTTCCATTTCTGGACAAAATAATTGAATAATAGGCCTGTTTAAAAATGTTTAAAGCGAGCGGGTCGTCACCTGCGCACGCACGGGAATTCAGTCCCAAGCGACAATAACAACACACACTAAAAATGCAAAAGCTCATGGGTAGACGCTTGTTTGTGAACATTGACATGCTTTGGCCATCTGATGTATGCACAGGTGACGACTCCTCTGCTTTAAATTTTTTTTATCTAGATGTTATTTCATAATTGCCAATGATGTCACTGTATAAATGTGGTCTGAAAAAAAGTAGTGTTCACTTATTGGCTAATTTGCTATATTAATTACCTTGAATAAATATATGATACTAGTAATTAAATATTCATTATTATTTAGTAATATGTCTATAAATCTGTGGGGAGAACCCTGAGAAGTGCAATAGATAATAAAAGGGCTGCTGTCATTGTTTGATATATTTACATGAAACTCTGATCGACTGCATGACGACCACCTCACTCCAATATTTACAAGCATTAGAACAGGAATTTACAAATCAAACTCATGAATATGTTGAGTTAGATGTCCTGTAATTTTCTTAAAACAATTTTTCTGAAATGTTGCACAATTCTGATATCTCTTTCTAATTTGTGAGTGTGGCTTCCCTGTAATTGAAATGAGGTTTTAAAACATGTTGATATGGAGAACATTCTTGTTGGGTGAGACTTGACAGCCAGGTGCACATTCTTGTTGGGTGGGACTCACCAAATATGGTGCATATTCTTGTTGGGTGGGACTCGCCAAATATGGTGCACATTCTTGTTGGATGGGACTCACCAAATATGATGCACATTCTTGTTGGATGGGACTCACCAAATATGGTGCATATTCTTGTTGGGTGGGACTCGCCAAAAATGGTGCACATTCTTGTTGGATGGGACTCACCAAATATGGTGCACATTCTTGTTGGATGGGACTCTCCAAATATGGTGCACATTCTTGTTGGGTGGGACTCACCAAATATGGTGCACATTCTTGTTGGGTGGGACTCACCAAATATGGTGCACATTCTTGTTGGATGGGACTCGCCAAATATGGTGCACATTCTTGTTGGATGGGACTCACCGAATATGGTGCATATTCTTGTTGGGTGGGACTCGCCAAATATGGTGCACATTCTTGTTGGATGGGACTCACCAAATATGGTGCACATTCTTGTTGGATGGGACTCTCCAAATATGGTGCACATTCTTGTTGGGTGGGACTCACCAAATATGGTGCACATTCTTGTTGGGTGGGACTCACCAAATATGGTGCACATTCTTGTTGGATGGGACTCGCCAAATATGGTGCACATTCTTGTTGGATGGGACTCGCCAAATATGGTGCACATTCTTGTTGGATGGGACTCACCAAATATGGTGCACATTCTTGTTGGGTGGGACTCGCCAAATGCATGTACAGTTATGAAATTTCTGTCCATAAAATGTATTAATTCATTCAGCTGTTTTACTATTTTTGTTTTGAAATGTGACTTTATCACTGCACTGATTGTTTTCTAGGAAGGAGCAACCATTGTTAAAAAAATGAAAGCTGTCATTGCTTTCAAGGTAACCAATGGTCCAGGTGGGCAAACTAGGACTTACCTTGTGGATGCAAAGAATGGCAGTGGGTCAGTTTCAGTGGATTCTAACAGTAAGTATGAAGTGGTAACATGTACTTTCATTTTGTTAATTGCTTGTCAAATTGACGGTATTTTTTGAGATGTTCAGATTGCAAAATTTGGCCACTAAACTATTTTAGCAAATCTTGTCTATCTCAGATTTGTTCTTTTCAGACCAATGGTTTAATTTAGGCTTTAAATAGTGAAAACAACAACTATTGTACATTGTGTTAGCGATACTGAATCAAAATATTGTACAAATCAAATACACATCTACTACTGTGATGTACACACAAAAACAACTTACTACAATCCAATCTGACTATCACACCCATTCTGCCCAACTTTTCAAACAACTTGGAATTCTGAATATTCATAAATTATGCATTTTTCACACTTGTATTTTTATGTTTGATTAAATCAATGGCAATTTTGCACACAATATTAGTAACTATCGTGAGCAAATTTCCCGCACCTATCCAACCTGATACTCAGTCAATGCTAATTTTAACATCCCATAATGTAACCTCTTGTTATCCAAAGATAGCTTCAAGTATGTTGCAACTAAACACTGGAATGCTCTTCTAAATTGTATCAACACTATTAAAGATAGGTATTCTTTTAAGGCTAATTTGAAAGAATATACCTACTTCAAACAAACTAAACTAATAGTTTTTTTAGATTTATATAAAATTATTTATCCTTCAACCATTCCTTCAAGGCACCTGTTAACTTTCCATTTGTTTGGTATATGGAATTTTGGTATTTATCAGTATGCCCAAATATGGGTCTGGGGCATTGAGGTATTTATCAGTATGCCCAAATATGGATCTGTGGCATTGAGTTATTTCTAATTATGCCCAAATATGGGTCTGAGGCATTGAGATATTTATTAGTTTGCCTAAATATGGATCTGAGGCATTGAGATATTTATTAGTATGCCCAAATATGGAATCCATAGCATTGAGGTATTTATTAGTATGCCCAGTCCGTGACATAATTGTATATTTTGATATATAGCCACATATAAAATTCATAGCATTGAGGTATTTATCAGAATGCCCAAATATGGAATCCATGACATTGAGGTATTTATTAGAATGCCCAAATATGGAATCCATGACGTTGATATATTTATCAGTATGCCCAAATTTGGAATCCATGATATTATGCCCAACTATGGATCTATTGGATATGGAATTTAATGTTTCCGAATCATTAAAAAGGCTGATTAATAATATATATTTTGTTGTTTTTGTTCAGAAAAAGCTGATGTAACAATGACATTGAAAGATGAAGATCTTGCCAACTTGATGACAGGAAAACTAAATCCACAGCAGGTTAGTCATCACTATGGCAACATTTGCTGAATATGTGTTTATATGAAATAAATTTGCCGCAAATTCTGTTCTTCTGAATTCTTCGATTAACAACTACTCAACTGCTTGTATTGTTTGCTGCACACACACATTACTACTCTAGCGCTTCTGTTACTTTTTACTGTGAAAACAATTTTGTCCTGACTTATATACACATAGAAATAAATGTGAATACATTATACTCTTAGGCAATATCCATCAGGTACTCTACAATATTTGTAGTTGGTAATGAGTTGTTCTGATCTCAATGACAAAATGGTTTTCACTGTAACGCTCTTAGCAATGCTGACTCCTGCTTGATTGCCATTTCACCGGCCACTAGTAGCATAGTGGTTGTCGCATCAGACTCATGATTGATAGACCCAAGTTCAAATACTACCTTAGGCTGACCCCTGCCTTGGGTGAGTGTGCCACAGACTTGATGTGAAGGCCAATTCCACTGGCCGAGATGGATTCACTAACGAATGCGACTTTGGGGGAACCTTGGTTAAAGTCTGCAAGTGTTTGTTTTCGACCAAGCTTGGTTGTTGCCAGGATAGCGCATTAAAATCGTCATTTGATAGGGAGATGGCCACACAGCCCTGTCATGTAGTCCCAAACATGAATATGACTTCTGTGTCAGCATTAGCACATTCAAAAAAAAAGTCAGAAGACACGACGGTGACATTCAATGTCCGGAACTGTCGCCTGGCATAAAAATAATTTTAAAATTTCATTGTTATTCCCTCCATGATCTGCATAACATTTGTACTGTGAATGGCAGCAAGTTACAAGCCCCCAGTAAACAGTCATATTACAAACTGTGACTTTTTTGGGTTACTTTATCTCATGAGTCAGAATATAACTACTGTATGTCATGCATTATTTTTAAACTTGCCATAAAGCCATTTTTCTGTTGGCATTAGTTCACTCTTCAAATTTTAAACATCATCTTGGTCATCTTGTTTACTGTGTCCTATCTTAAATCCACAAGTATACTTATTGTCGTTCAACCCATTAGTATAAATAATATCTCAGTGAAATGTTTCAATAAATATGCAGGGATTTTTTTAAACAAGGGAACAGAGGCACATCACCCTCATGCCATGCGCCCCCTTACCTGGAGAGCAGATCCTCCGGCAACCATAAAATTCTGATTGACCAGGGATCAAATGTGTCTTCAACTGTGACCTGTCTGATAGTAATTTTTCCCCCAAAGAAGCCTTAGAATGCTCCATTTTAACTTAGAATTATCAAAAACTCCACACCCTGGTAGGGTGAACCCTATCTCCCCCACATTGTGGCGCTGCTGAATTGCAGTGCTCCTGCTTGCATTTTTTTTCTAGAAAAACCCCTGACTATGCAATTATTATTTGTAGGCATTCTTCCAAGGGAAGTTGAAGATCACTGGTAACATGGCATTGGCGATGAAACTACGAGAACTTCAACCCAAAACACCATCAAAGTTGTAAAACATTATATGGTTATCTCCAGTATTTGATGAAATGCAGATGATGTTCCACCGTGCCTCAAAAGTGTTCATTAACATTCATAGAAAATGTGGCATCTGATTTATTATATTAATTAAACAGTAGTGTTCTTTATTGCGTAGAGACAAACAATTTTTTACAATTAAGACAAGAGAGTGACAAAAGTGATATTTAAATCATAATGTTGCAATTAATTATGCAATAAATTTTAGAAGAAATAAATAGGATGGATGGACACAGATTTGAACACTGATTTGATCACTACAAATAATCAGTCATGGTGTAAGTGTAATGCTGGTAATACAACTAAATGTACACTTGTGGTTGTAAATATTCATGATTTATGGAAGAGAAGTAAAGTCTTTAACACACAATTATTGGTGTTTTATTTCAGTCAGTCAAAATCGTACATCATATCAAGTTTCTTCCATGATGAATCCACAGTTCATAGTAAAACATACTCAGAGGCCAGGAGATTCACCAATGTTGAATCTACACGACATTCTACATCATTCTCAATAAGACAATGGGTTTCTCCAGTGATGAATCTACACTCTAATTCACTACGCTCAATTACCCATCATAGACTCTGGTCAGTCAAAATGACTATTTTGAACTGTAGGCAGCCAATGACGGATAGAGATTACGTCATGAACCATGTGACCGAGGTAATGAGGCGATGCCATATTACCTTCCCAGTCAGTCTCGTAAAAAGGGTGCGATCAGTCATCAGATTTTTTCCTGTCCGAGTTTTTGGTCTGACTAGCTGTCACCTTTCTTATTTTTCACCCCTGTGCCACCTTTTTGTGTGCTCAAAGATTGAGGCGATCAAACGGTAGTTGCCCCGGGAATTACCAGCTTGCAACCCACATACATGTAGCAATGCTGTTTGTGTTTCGACTGTGTGTGTGGCTCAGGGTTTTGTCTAGTGATTTTTTTGTAACAACTGGGGTTCCGAGTCCTGGGATGCTTTTCAAGGCCTCGTGCAAATTACCAAGACTGACCGCGTCGCTCTAGTTTATAGCAGTCTACTGGTGCCTTGTGTATCACGGTGAGTGAGAGGCCCGACAGTGGAGGTCCCAAGATCATCGCTGTCTGCTCCTGCAGACCGCGGTTTGCCCAATCATACCTGTAATGGCGAGGCTGTGCCCCTGGAGGTTTTTACTCCAATGGGGCCTGTTGCAGATCTGTGGACCCATCCTTGCACGGCGCTGGGGCTTGCCAACTAGACTCTGGCTTGCAGGTCAGGTAGATCAAGGGAGCAGGTTGCCTCCACTGCAGTTGCCTCTTGTTTTGGCAAGCTGGAAGAAGCACAACAGCAGGCTATATTTTCATGCATGATGCTTCCTCCGGGGATCCTCCGGATCCCAGCCCATCCTTCCCATTTATTTTTTGGAGCAGGAGGGGCACAGGCTGGTGGTACCAGGTCTCAGCTGAGACCTAGTCCACAGGTAGCCAGGGAGGTTCAGGCCTCAGAGTTTGGAGGGGACAAAGCAGTGGAGGGATTTGTACATTAACATTTACCCCCCCCCCCCGCATTCTGCCAGCCAGGGATTGTCTGTTGGACCCAGGGATTAATTTTGTTTTTCCTGAGTCCTGCCCCACTACAGGTCACTCCTTCTTCGACGACCCGCAGACGCTCCAAGAGGGAACCTGCCAGGCCATTAAAAAAAACAAAGAAACGGCGGATGCAACCACGGGCGGCCCGTTGGAGTCTGTTCTTTGTAATGACTCCGTGAGCCACGCCGTGGGGTGAGGGGGGAACATTGATTCCAGTGACCAGATGTTCAACAATTTTATGATCAACCCTTTCCGCTGGACCAAGCGCTACCCAATCTAGGTGTGTTTGAGACCAGAATCTGGAGTCAACTCTCACGTCCGATCGGATCCCTCAGTTCCTCCCGACCCCAGTACCACAAATTTGTTGGTTAAGTGGGACGAGCAAAAGAGGTGGCCACGTTCATTGAATATTTTGACAGTTTAGTCAGAAACAATCCACGCACTGTGAGCACAGTGGCGACCCTCAACCTTCGAGTTGTGGCCAGCCCACTGGAACTCATTGGACCCACTCGCCATGGCTATGACTATGAAAATGGATGCCTCCCTCACATGTTGGGGAGCGCACCTATTGGACGAACAAGCCCAATGGAAAATATGGCCCCTGCATTAGATTCAGGACTGCCATATCAACTGGTTCGAACTGAAAGAAGTGAACTTAGCACTGATTCACTTTCTACCCATAATTCGAGACCACAGAGTCTTGCTTCACACGGACAACACAGCGGTGGTCTCATATATCTACAAGGAGGGGGGGGGACCAGTTCCCCATCCTTGTCAGTCCTATCAGAGCAAATTCTCCTATGGTGCCTGGAATACAATGTCTAGCTAGCTGCACACCACTTTCTAGAGGCGTGAAACAGTCAAGCGGATGCCCTCTCGTGGCGGCTCCGTCTCCAGAACAGATACCCCAATGGGTAGCCTCCAGACTGTTTCGCCGGTGGGATGGTCCAAGGTTGGACCTATTCACCACACCCCGGAACGCCAAGCTCTTGACGTACACGACACTCCTGCCAACTCCAGGAGCCTAAGCCAGGGACACTTTGTCGACTCCTGTGGGCCTTTCCCCCTTTCCCACTATTCACCGGGTACTGGAGATACCTCAACAGGAGCACATCTGCACTTTGACGTGGGTGGCGCCCAATTAGCCAAGCAAGGTCTGGTTTTTACTAGTGTTGGAAATGTTAGACGAAACACCAGGAGTGCTTCCGGACTTCCGGATCTGCTGTCCCAACCAGACGGCACACACTCTTTGAGCCCAGCGGTGTACCACTTACACTTACACAAGGCTCTCAGTTGACCAACTCGGGTTTTTTTGAGTGGGCTGCCAACGTCCTGGCCAGGGTGATTAGGGATTCTACCAACACAGCCTACGCCTCGAAATGATGTGCGTACACTGATTGGTGTCGTGGAAGGAAGATCCATGCCATCCTTCTGTTGGCCAGGCAGCTGACTTTTAGTCTATCCTTTTGACAAAACGGAAAACGGACTTGTCCTTTCAGTGATTGTTGGCTATAGTTCAGCTTGTCACCCACCATTGAGGTTTCTCAACTAGCCGGTTGTCCTAACATTAGGAGACTGTTTACTGTTTAATCAGAGGCCTAAACCCCAAACAAGGGAACCAACCAATTGAAACTAATCGTCCACTCGAAGCGGAGTGCCTTTTGTGCCTCTCCGATCAGCACCACTCAAATTTTTTGTGGAAAACAGTCTTCCTACTCGCCCTCGCCTCAGGTAGGTGTTGGACTGAACTAGGGGTCCTGTCCTTCTTGGATGGGTGTGCCACCTTTATGGACAATAAGATAATAAGAAATCAAATCCCACAATCGATCGTCATCCCCCAGCTGGCAACATTGCCAACCTTGAGGATCAGGAGGAGTTGCTTATGTGTCCGATTCGAGCGCTGAGTTGCTACAAGAGCCGTACTAAGGAGTTGAGGCATGGCAGCAAGCACAGTGATGAATCTACACTTCTACCTAAGAGATACCAAATCCATTGAGGAGGGTCTTTTTAGGGGGAGTCGTGTCGTATCGGGACAGGCTTTGTTTACTAACCCATCCTGGACGACCTCAGGGATCTCTGCGCATAGAAGATAGAGGACTCTGTGCTACAGATTTGTGCAGAGAAGTTTTACCCGCAAGCGTTCCTTGGAACCTTCCTGGTCTCGCTTTCAAACTATCCCCTGTTTTCTTTTTGCCTTTTCTTTTGAAGGCTAATTACCCCAGAATTCGGGTCTAGCTTTCTCGGGCATACCGAACCCCGTCACCATTCAGCATTTTGGCCTTGTTCCAGGGACGGCACTGGCATGGTAGGACACAGTTTCTTCACTGGTCTCAACTAGGTGGTCATAGGTAGAGGGAATTATCCTTGTCTGGGACACCCTTTTTATCATTTTCAGTTAGCTCGGAAACCCGCCACCTATCGGCATCTGACTCTGCCTACAGTTCAAAATAGTCATTTTGACTGACCAGAGTCTATAGTGGGTAATTGAATGTAGTGAATTTAGGCAATACCCAACATAGACTCCGAGTCCCCCGACCACCCCACTTTTTCCGTAGCGTTGGCTTAGTCCTCTGTGCGGAGAAAAAGAACCAGACTGGCTGGGAAGGTAATATGGCGCCGCCCCATTACCTCGGTCACATGGTTCGTGACTTAAGGGGAAAATCTTGAGGTCATGAGGCTTCCTCTGACCTAGATTTTTCTCTCCTTCATTGGGTGAATCGCAGATTAATTCCTACTGACAGGAGTCTATGGTGGGTATGTGAATAGGCGGGTTCTGAGAACCCTCTGCCTAATTACGCAACATTATCAATAAGATTAGGGGATGCTCTAGTGATGTATCTACTCTACATTCTACAACATTCTCAAGAAGGCCAGGTGATTCTCCAGTGATTAATCTACACTCTATCCTACGACATTCTCAATAAGATAAGGATTCTCCAGTGATGAATCTACACTTCACTCAACAACATTATCAATGAAACCAGGGGATTCTCCAGTGATGAATCTACACTTCACTCAACAACATTATCAATAAGACCAGGGGATTCGCCAGTGATGAATCTACACTATATTCTACAACATTATCAATAGGACAAGGGGATTCTCTAGTGATGAATCTACACTACATTCTACAACATTATCAATGAGACCAGGGAATTCTCTAGTGATGAATCTACACTACATTCTACAACATCATCAATGAGACCAGGGGATTCTCTAGTGATGATTCTACACTACATTCTACAGCATTATCAATAAGACCAGGGGATTCTCCATTGATGAATCTACACTTCATTCTACAACATTATCAATAAGACAAGGGGATTCTCCAGTGATGAATGTACACTACATTCTACAACATTATCAATAAGACGAGGGGATTCTCTAGTGATGAATCTACTCTACATTCTACAACATTATCAATGAGACCAGAAGATTCTCTAGTGATGAATCTACACTACATTCTACAACATTATCAATGAGACCAGGGGATTCTCTAGTGATGAATATACTCTACATTCTAAAACATTATCAATAAGACATTCTACAACATTATCAATAAGACAAGGGGATTCTCCAATGATGAATATACACTACATTCTACAACATTATCAATAAGACCAGGGAATTCTCTAGTGATGAATCTACTCTACATTCTAAAACATCAATGAGACCAGGGGATTCTCTAGTGATGAATCTACACTAAATTCTACAACATTCTCAATAAGACCAGGGGATTCTCTAGTGATGAATCTACATTCTATTCTACAACATTATCAATAAGACAAGGGGATTCTCCATTGATGAAT